ACTACTACTACTACTACGACTATTACTACTACTAATACTACTACTACTACTACTACTACTACTACTACTACTACCCCTACTACCAGTGCTGCTACTACTACTACTACTACAACTACTATTACTACTACTACTACCACTACTACTACTACTACTACTACTACTACTACTATAACTACTACTACTACTACTACTACTACTACTACTACTACTACTACTACTACGCTACACGACTACTACGACTACTGACTACTACGACTACTCTACTACGACTACTACTACTACTACTACTACTACTACTACTACTACTACTACTACTACTACTACTACTACTACTACTACTACTACTACTACTACTACTACTACTACTACTACTACTACTACTACTACTACTACTACGACTACGACTACTACTACTACTACTACTACTACTACTACTACTACTACTACTACTACTACTACTACTACTACTACTACTACTACTACTACTACTACTACTACTACTACTACTACTACTACTACTACTACTACTACTACTACTACTACTACTACTATCACTATTACTACCAGACGCCCCCCAGACGGTTCAAGAGGCCCCGAGTCGCCGAAAGAATTGTCACAAGCCGCCCAAGATGGCCGCCGCAGCCCCAGACGCCGCCAAGAAGCCCCGAGAGAGCCTCAAGAGACCCTCCAAGAGGGACCCAAGAAGCACACATCGTCCGAATCCCGTCGGGAAACGTACAGTTGTCGCATAAACGACTTCTTGAGGTTTCACACTGTTCAGAACTGCCCAGGAGGCCCTCACAATCGCCCCAACACGGCCCAACGTGCCCCCAAGATGAGCCCAAGACGGCCCCAGAGCGCTGAAAGACAGCCCAAAAGACCCCTCAAGGCAGCTCCTAACGCTCCCAGAAGACCCCAAGAGCGGTACTCTAAGCTGCCACGCCTGGCCCTTTCCTGCGAGATCCCTCACGAGATCGCCAACAGGGCCCAAGAAGCTCCCAGAAGCCCAAAGTACTAGCCCAGGAAGCCCCCAAGAGGCCCCAAAGAGGCCTCCCAAGAAGCCCCACGACGTCTCCCAGAGACCCGTCTTGTCGACAACCCAGTTTCGTCTGAAGAGTTTTTCCAAGATACCATCGACAGGCCTCCTCCCCCTCATCGTCCGCTTATGCGACAATAAGGGCTAGCGAAATGAGCGGAAGAATTGAATGACTCTTCCATGTTGCACCCCGAGACGACATGTCGGTACGGCGGGCCGTGCGTTTCGCTTGAGACTTCCCTACCATTCATGATCCTGACGCTCAGAGGTTGCAACGGCTTCACGGATGGAGGAAGGGTGGATTCAAAATGTGGCTCTCGCCTCAGCGTCGCGCATATTCGTCTCAAAAGATCACCAGAACTTCACGAATGGAGGGCGGGTGGTTTTCAACATGTGGCTCTCGCCTGAGCGCCGAGCACATTCGTCCTCAATGTGTGCAAGATCTTCAAAAAAAAAAAAACTTGCCCAGAAAGAGAGCGGGTCGCTTGAAACTGTGGCTCTCGCCCTCGCGCCGCGCCTTCCGCGTGCGGTTCTCGCCTCAGCACCGCGCACCGTATCCTCTGAGCTCGCCCCGCCTTCACGGCTGGAGGCCGGCCTCGCCTTCCAGATGCGGTCCTCGCCCTGGCGCCGCGCATGACAGTGTGGCTCTCGCCCCCGCGCCGCGCTCCTTCGTCTCAAAAGGTCGCCAGAGAACTTCACGGGTGGAGGCGGGGTGGCTCTCCAAGTGTGGCCCACGCCTCGGCGCCGCGCTGGTTCGGCTCAAAAGCTTGCCAGGGCCGCACGGATGGAGGGCGGGTGGTCTTCAGAAGGTGGCTCTCGCCTGAGCGCCGAGCACATTCGTCCTCAGTGTGTGCAAGAGCTTCACGGATGGAGGGCGGGTGGTCTTCAGAATGTGGCTCTCGCCTGAGCGCCGCGCACATTCGCCCTCAATGTGTGCAAGAGTTTCACGCGTCGAGGGCGGGTCGTTTTCCAAAGGCGGCTCTCGCCTAGGCGCTGCGCACGTGTTTAAAACTGTTCCACGGATTGGTATGGTTGACGTCCCAGGAACCGTGCTCAGGTACGAAAAAAGATTGCCAGGGCGCAACAGTCGCGTTGATTCGCGAGTTCCAGGAGTGGTTTCTGGCACTCTACAAGGTCGTCAAAACGCAACAATGAGGTTGACTCGCGGCATCGAGATCCAAGGAATTGCGTTTCCGCGCGATTGAAGAGTCTCAGACGCTTGTCTTCCAACGGGGCACTTCCATCAGTGAAAGTAAACTCTTGTAGGGACCTACGAGGAGAGAACTTGCAGCATCATTGATGCGTCTTGGGTTTACACTGGTCCTCGTCCTCCTCCTCCTTCTCCTCCTCCTGCTCCCCATCCTCGACCTCCTCCTCCTTATCTTCCTCCTCCTCCTCCTTCTCGTCCTCCTCCTCCTCCGCCTCTTCTGCTTCCCGAAGCGGCGAAAGCCCCCCTCTGAAGGC